AGTGTGGGGGTGCTGAGACAACACCACACTTGAATTCTTTTCAAAGATAAACCAACAAGAGAGTAGACAGATTTTAGGTGGACAGAAAGGAATGTCTGGCACAAGCCGAGGAGGTAGACTTGTTGTACAGCTATATTGGACACTTACGGTTCAATGCTGACTGGCGTAGCTTCCCCCATTACTGAAAGGACAGGAGGAGTGACTTCTGAACTATCTGCAAGGCAAACAGAATGACTTAGAGCTTATCAATTTTACATGCCTGCAGATTCATGAGCATATGAAAAGAACATAAGAACACAGACTATCCATCAAACAATGTAGGTACTCATCTCCCTTAGAGTATTAGGCTGGTTAGCAGGGAGAAAGGAAGAGGGCAAACTTTCATGCAGCAATTATCTCTTCCAATAAAAAGTCCTTCCTATTCACCAAATGGTCCAATCTTATGATGGACAGGAATAATTTTTCCAAAACCAAATCTACCTTTCAAAAGCCCCTGGGAGGCTCTGGAGCTCAATGGTAGGTGCATCTCGACTGGTGTCTCTAGGGAGCCGCAGCTTGATTTCCACTGTATCCCAGCTCCCCAGAATTATGCCAGCAAGAAACTTGAGGTTACAGACATCTATAATTAAGTTATGACTTTCTTTTTGTCGTCCCTTAACCACCTACCCCCAATTATCCATCCTTTCTCCTGTTAGAACTTACTAGATCTGAGTAGAGTTCTGTGAGCACTTTTTGGAGTTGCTGGAGGTGGAACTGTGTGGCCACTAGATGAGAGGATGGCATTAAAATAGAGCCCAGACCCTTCTCTCACTGGGCTAAGTATTGGTGGTGGAGTGTAAGGAGGTAGCTCAAAGTTCCTGTCAGAAGGATGATCTGCTAGGCGGACAGGTGAGCGTAGGTGACTCTGATATGGAGTGATGTTGGAATAGACTGGAGGAGCAATGAAGGTGCCAGCTTTTGGCGGTATGAAAAGTGGCTCAGGTCTGGGGCGCTGCTTCGGCTTCCGAGCAAAGTTCTCTGCTTCATCCTTTGGAACAGCATCTTCAGGCTACAAAAAGGAAACAAATATTTTTACGATACAAAGTTAGCCAGAATGCATTTAGTTTTATGTATTTTAAAATATATTTCAGTGCGATGACAACATGCTGACTTAGCGACTACACTGCAGGACAGGAGCTGGCTGGGACCGTGGAGGAAGAAATCAGTCACACTGAATAGTGGAACAGAAGAAAAGTCCAAGAAACCTATCAAACAGGCTATCAAACATCTAGTTGAGAGAGTCTTCCCAGAAGCTTATGAATTATATTCCACTTTAATAGACCACCAAAATTTTCCATGATAGTCCTCCATCTCACCCAGCTACATGAAAGAGTTATAAAAGGGGTAGGCCTGGAGGGGAGAAAAAGTATCAAGAGAATCTCAGCAAGGGGTTCTGAAACATCCTAATAGCCATAGTGAGTGAGTGAGTGAGTGAGTGAGTGAGTGAGTGAGTGAGTGAGTGAGTGAGTGAGTGAGTGAGTGAATGTGGAGGGGGGGGAAGGAGGAGGAGGAAGGCTTTTGTCTTGGACTTACTCAGAACAGACATGGGCGCACAGTCTTAAAACTCGAGGTTATCTGTATATGCATACTAAAAACGCCCCTTGGTTCAACGTATCAAACTCCCTCACTTGAATGTTACAACCAAATACCTAGGAATTAAACTCTACTGAGCTTTACCAACTCTATTTTTCAGGGCATTATTTGGCTATTTTAGTATAACTGTATGTCCAAAAAAAGACAATAATTATCTAAAAGTAAGCCATCAGGGAGCAACAATGATGTAAAAAGGTGCCTTATGTACAGGATAGTTTTCTCTGGGTTACTTTCAGCTCAAAACCAAGTGACCCTTTCAGGCCTAAGGGACTTGCACTGCCTTGTCACAGTTCAAGTTGTTTCAGCAGAAAGGGATGAAGACAAAAAATCAGGCATGTAGCAGATCAGAATCTCCTTGGGTCTTTCTAGTGTGCCCATACCTGGAGTGAGTTTTCCATGTTGGTACTGCGATTGGACCTTCTTCGGGTGACAATCACAGAAGGCTTGCGTTCAAAAGGACCTCGATCATTTGCCTGGACTCTCTGGAGTTTCCCTTCTTCACCCTTTTCCCTCCCAAAGTCCTGCAAATCAACTTTCCTCACTGGCACAGACACAGGAATGATAAGAGGCACAAGGTTGCTATCTTCCCGTGCTCTTTTGGAGACTGGTGAAGAGCTGGCAAATTCCACAACGCTTTTTGCTGCTGGCGGTTCTGCTGCTGCTGCAGCACTCTTCTTCTCTTCTGAGGTATCCGACTCCTGAAGGGGGGAAAAAAAATCCACATGTACCTTAAATGATCCAAGACTTTCAAATCAAACCGTCTCTCACTTGCAGTACACATCTTAAGTTTCTAAAACGTTCTCAACCTAACTTTGGAACTGGAAGTCACTGTAGTTCTAAGTACTTGTGGGAAAAAAGGATACTTGATTTGGCAGAAAAGTTATCATTGTATTTCACCTCATGTTAGGAACAGTACATTAATCTACCTTGAGTTTCATTCTTTCGTCCATAGTTTTACATTTTGTTTTCTGGACCAAATTCTCCCTTTTATAGAAATTCTACACAAAGAATTATTCTTATTACTTAGATAATAAAAATCTGGTTATTGCATGTCATTTGTTTCAAGTGGCTTGATTTTTGGTCCCAATCACTGAACTGCAATTTGCCCATTTCCCTTAGCTTTCTTTTTCTCTCTGAGTTTCATCTTCCAGAGCACTAAACAAGCTTTTGTCCTGTGCTTTATCCATCAGAAAGAGAGAGTATACTTTCCTTACAATATCATATGCACCTTCCACTGTGCTCAAGCTTGAGGACCTTTTGGTTAGCAGTACTCAGATAGTGCATGCCATTCTTCATGCTTCACACCAAGGACTACTGAATTTCAATTCTCTCTCAACCATGGACTCTCCAAAATGCTGGATTCCAAGAACATCTCAGATGGATAGTGGATTGTAGAATATGCATAAGAACACAACTCAGAAGAAACCCCAGTTGCTAGAAGGTACATAACTCCTCCCTCAAGTGACTGTCCATGTATATACCCATTCCACTCTGTGCAACTCCAAAAGTGCTGTTCAAACTTTTTGGAGGTATGATTGCTGAGTTTTACGAGAACAGCATATGAAGCACCTCTTTGCTAAATTTCAGCATGCAATCTGCAGGTTTCAGAGTTCATATAATGTGTCATGAACGTATGAACAGAGCTCCAGATGGCTGCTTTATAGATGTGCAGGGTGGATATATATTTTTTTAGTAATGCTGTGGATGTTGCTTGAATTCTGATGAAGTATGCACTAGCAATTTTAAAGAGACTGCTGTACCTTTCATTCTGTCTGCTATGGCAACAAAGAGCCGAGGAGATGATTTGAACAGTTTTGGCCTGTGTAAAGAGACGGCCAGGGCACATTTTACATGCAGAGATTGGAACAAGGACATTTTACAAAAGCATATTTGTTGCAAACACCTTTGGTAAAAATCTGAAGTTTGTCCTCAAGGACACCTCACCAAAGGGGGAAAAAAGTAGAGAAATTCTAGGCCCTGGGCTTGGATCTCCTCCACTGAAGTGATAGCAGTTAAGAAGGCATCAGGGAAATGCATCAGAGAACAGGAGGTCATTGACTCAGGAAGCAGAACCCAGAGACCCTGGCAGCAGCAGTAGCCAGGCAGGAATCTGCAGGCCAGGTACAAACTCCTCAGAGGCAGCCAGTTGGACAGTCCTGCCTAAGTCATGACATTATCTGTCAATCTTTATCGATGTGTGCTGCAGGAAGGATTCAAAAGGCATTGAAGATTGCCCTTACTTGCACATATGGCTAGAAAAAAAAAAGTGATCATTTCTCCAGGTATCCAAAATTGACACAGTCTTGGTCTTATTCAGGGCCTGTAAGGGAACAAAGTTTACCTTTTATACTCCTGAAGTATGCTGGCACTACTGCATGCACTCAACTATGCTCAGGGATTAATGACAAGTCACAAAAAAAAAATCTTGTAACTATTAATGATCCAAGCACAAACCTCAGTTATGTCATGAGTGGGGGTATGATGGAAATGGGGAATCAGACAACCCCGAGATGAAGAGATGAGAATCAATTCCCTTAATTCTGGAAGAGCCGGTATAATGACTGGCAATACCACCTTTCACTTCAGCTTGTAGATAAGAACAAGAGGAAACAGCAACCACTCCTTCTTAGAGGAATCAGGATTAAAAAGTGTCTGCTGCTTTCCTCAATGATGATGACTGAGAAATCAAACACAAGAGATCCTTGTTTTAACAGGACTTCATGATAAGAGGCCCTGAAGAGACAGAAAAGAAGGTTGGAAACAGGCACTAAGAACCAGACTGTCCAAGACCCACCAGGTCAATAGCGACACAGGTCCATACGTGCCTAAAGTGGATCAAGAAGTTCCCAAAGGGGGAAGGAGGGTGGGGGCACACAGTAATCAATTCTGGAATCACAAGTTGGTTTGCATATTGCCTTCATCTGTGGCAACCCTTTTGTTGTCATTGTTTTTCCGAGGTGTGTCAAAAGATGTGAGGTAGAAGGGGAAACTGCGGGGTTAGTCCCTGAAGGGGGAAAAAAACATTGTGTGCCATGCTTCCTTTGAAGCACTGGGATATGAATACTTAGGGCAGTGATTCTCAACCTTTATGGACTTGAGGTACACCTTCACAACTTTTGGGAATTGAGTGGCATCCAATTTCAAAAACTAATTTATATATTACAGTGCTTATCTCCTTACACAAGGGCTGGGCAGTAGGGATGGGGAGGAAGGGGGAATCATCAAGGTAGGGACAAGCACAAGCCTGGTTTCTCCTCGCATCTTGTGACACCCTTAAAAGGATCTGGCAATCCCTGGTTGAGAACCACAGACTTAGGAAATGTTATCCTAGGGCCCTTTTCAGTGGTAAACAGCTCCATTTCCTCAAATGGCAGGTCTTCCACAAGGACCTTCTTCCTTGGTGTCTCCCCAAGGATGCCTGATCCTTGCAGCCAGGATGACTGCACCATAACCACTATTGCAGTAAAAAACGAGACCATGTTGGCCATTTCTAGAACCACATGAAAACTGATCCAGGCCATCATCTGACCTGACAGAAGCAAAAAATACTCCTCCCTGAAGTCAGATGGCAGCTTGTCCATGAAACAGGTGATACACAGATCACAAACTACCTCAGAGCAGGGCTTGATATTAGTGACCCTGAATTGCAAATTCACAAAGTGTGCCTTACAGTATAATAAATCCAGTGTCTGTTACAAATTTAGGCTGGGAATTAGAAGAAGGAACTTTCTAGTAGTAAGAAAAGCGAACTTTTGAAGTCCTGATTTTTGATGATGTTTCAGAGTTGTCTTCCTCTAGGTATCCCTCTGGAAGGGGTTGTGGCTGGCAGCAATGCCCCAGTGGGGATTGGTGTCATGAGTTTCTCTTTCATTACCAATGCAGTCAAGACAAATACTGATGAAGCTAGGCTCTGGAAGAAAAGTAAAAGTCTTCTGCATCACTGTAGCATCAGTTCCTTAGCTTGACACTTTGGTGGCAGGTTGCTGGCACCACGATGCACATGAGATAGACTGGGAAGCACTCATGGATAGAAAAAAAAATCCTGGTAGAGGGCAGGGGTGGATATCTCCTTCCAAGGAAGCTTTTATGAAAAATGAACCCCTCAAGTCTCCCCTACCCTTTACCTCAGATGGGATTTTCCTGCCCAGCTTTAATGCTGAAGATCTAAGACAGGGAGTCTGCACCAGAGAGCAGGTTCTCCTCAATCCAAAGGCAGGTCCACCAACTGGCTTAAGAGAGTCTTCGTCCCATTGTTCATGAGGATTTGGGGGGAATAAATGCTTCATCCACAAATCTTTTACCTGGGATGCAGGATTCTCCTAAGCAGCAGAGGGACTTAGGTTCATATTCCTTGACACAGCCTCAATACATAAGGAGTAAAAGTTAAATGAAAGGAGCCTTTAGACCAACATTCTGGGTTCAAGTACTACTATTTGACCCAGTCTTCTTCAAAGAAATTAACAGGTTGCCAGTAAGTGACTAGAAAAATGAGTTCAACTTACCTAAGGGGTTAAACTAAGGTTAAAAGAGTTTGTTTCCCTGGTGTCTGTTGTGATGGGAAGCAGCTCTGCCCTGAACTGAGAGGGCTGATCAGAACTGAAGTGAAGGAGGCACATTCCACCTATTATGCCCCTGATGTGAAGCATGAGATGAGGTAAGGCACATGGGTAAGATGGGTGCTTTTGGTCAAAGTTATCTAAGTTTGGGTACAAATATCTGAAGAAGAATATATCTTATTAAAATGGTTTAACATAACTCTTCTTACACAACCTAGAGTGTCCTTTAAGCGATCTGTATTCAGTAAGTTATTTCTGCACAGTTCTGATCAATGGAAAGGCAACAGCAGCTTGTAGTGTAGGATGAAAAGGCACAGGAAGAAAAGGGAGTGAGAACCATTCTCCTCCCACACACACCTTCCCTCTCACATGTATATTATCTACACATCATTTTTTTTAATCCTCTCAGAAACAAAGGACCCAGGTGAAAACTTTAATTGTTCAGGCTGAGAATCTTCCACAGCTGTCAGAGATTTGGGTGTACAGAATCTTTTTCATAAGGGGGGGGAAAAAAAAAAAAAAAAAAAAAATCAAACTCTGGTCTTTTCTTTCCAATAAGCAATGTCGCAAGTGGCTGCAGACAGACATGCCTAAGTGCAAGAGATTCCTGATTCAAGTCTCAAGTTCTATTTGAAGGTAGAGTAGAGATGTGCCTTTTGTAGACCAGTGATTCTCAGCCAGAGTGCCGTGGTACCCTGGGGTGCCTTGAGAACCTTGTCAAGAGTGCTGTGGCCTGTCACACAATGTGAGCACTGTTAAGTTTGCAATCATGATTCAAAAATAAACCCAGAAATTTCACATAGGAACCATGGTGCTAGAAAACAAACATTCTGACCTGTTGTGGTCTGAGTTCTTTGCAACAGAAGAATTGTGCTATTTGTTTTCACTCATTTTTTGATTACAAAAAAAAAATAAAAATAAAAATAAAAATAAAAATAAGAGCTAGCATTTTGAGAGGGGTACCTTGAATCTAAAATGGTTGAGAACAACTGCTATTGATTAAATGAATCAGAGATGCATAAACTAGCATGAGCAAGAGCTCATTCCATCAGACATTACAGCACAGCATATGATGAAAGTTCTTGCTCACACTAGCCTATGAATTTCCAATTCAGTTAGTCTGCAAGATGCACCTCTACCCTGCTTTCTGCCTGACTTCAGGCTAAGTTCAATTTGATCCTCCTCAGACCTTTTCTTAAGCATACAGCTGCTCTATTAGTTTTCACTCATTTTTTGACTAAAATAAAGAGCTACCATTTTCCGAGAGGTGCCTTAAGTCTAAAAAGGTTGAGAAGAACTGCTGTCGATTAAATGAATCCGAGATGCATAAGCTTGCACACAGCTGCCTCTCTCATGATTACTAACACAATGGGTGCAGCTAATTATATGCAAGGCAAGCCTCCGTGGAATTAGCTTTTCCCTACTGTTCCACTGAGTTACTAGTAGGTAACTTGCTTAATAAAAAGTTACACAATAAGGGAGAAGTAATTATGGCACTATAATAACTTCACTAACCGGTAAAGGATGTTGGAACAGAGCAAGCAACCTCAGTAGCTGGACATAATCATTTAGCACTGATCAGAAAAACTGAATCAACTGCACATGCCTCAACAGAGGAAAGGGGAAGAGCAACCACTGAGGAAGCTGGAGATTAGAAAAAAAGCTCACATAACATGCAGAATCATGAGGAGGTTAAAAAAAAAAAAAATTGTAAGCCAAAAAAACTCATATTGCAACACCTAGTTTTTTTTCCCCTCCCAACTAGCAATGATGGCTCCAAGAAGATGAAATCCTATGTTTTTTTGAAGAGGGGCTCACAGCAGGGTCAGTCAAAGCTAAATTATAAAACAACATGACTATGAACCTATTTATACCATGACCGGGGGGGGGGGGGGGGACGACCATGACGGGGGGGGGGGGTGTCACCTGCTCTGTCTTCATGCTATATGAAGTGTTTGCCACTCATGCTACAGGTACAGGTTGCCAAGAAGAAGAATGACATGAGAAATGGCATACCTCATCCTCAGCAAGGTACACAGCATCTATCCCAATGAGATCATACTCCCACAGCAGCATCTACAAGGAGCTCCTAGACAACTACGTTGCTGCCCATGGGGTAGCCCAGTTTGTTTAGGGGTTTGACACTCATGGTAAATTGGAATTTTTTTATTTCAACATTGAAATAGTGATTTGTTAAATATTTCATCCTCTGTGCTTTGAACGAGGGAGTCAGAAGAGATGCAGATGAGAAACCTTAAACAAACAAGGCAGGACAAGTGACATATCCCAAAATAAATCGAATAAATGAGTAGATTCTTACTCTGTTACTACATTTTTGATCAGCTTGAGATCCCAAGTTAGGCACATAAGTCTACTAGTAATGCTCAGTTCATCCGGCCCTGTGGGCCTGACCTGACACATGGGATCAGTCTGCAGGAATCTAGCAGGTGGTATCACGTCATTTGGCTAATAAAGCTCCCTATGGGTCCAGAAACTTGACAGCAGGACAAGTAGCAGCAGGACAAACAGCAGCAGTGTTAATTACGGTGGCTCCAGAAACCATGGTAATTAATGCTGCCACCACTCCCCCACTGGCAAATTACTGGACCGGGGAGATCGTGTGGGTTGGATCATATGGCTCCATGAGCCAAATCCAGCCTGCATCTTGGTCACCCTGGTCTATACCAGTGAAGTGAAAAATACTACTCAGGTTGTCATATGTGCAAAGAGATTTGGTAATGAAGCTTATGTAACCATTCCAGGGCCAAAAACATACAGTGTCTCTCTTACATCAGGCTGACCTCTTGCTCCACACAACAAACTTTTTTTTCTAGTTCTGCTTTAAGGATGCCATCTTAGAAGTGCTATATAGGTCAAGATATACCTCTTACCTTGACATCCTGGAGAGAAGCCAGCTCAACAGCCTTTTGAGCCAAGGTTAGCAAGTTGGCCTCTTGAGAGACACGCCGTCTTCTCCGGGTGCTCTGAATGACACCACCTCTCACACCTGAAAAGTCACTCACTCTCCGTGTGCTTTCTTCACTTGTTGCCACCTGCTTCTCTTCATCCCTGCCATTCTGTGATGCAGCTGGTTTCTCTGTTTCAGGCTGGGTCATCTCACTGTTAAGCAGGGTCTCCTTCTGTCCAAGATCCATTCTTGTGGGCTGCAGATAGCTCCCCTTGCTGTGGCCCAGTATCTCAGGGTGATGCTGCACTTGAACCTCTTGCTGCTGTTGCTGCGATTGCCAGTGGTGCAGGAACAGATTGCTAGATTGTTCTGCCACTGGCTTAGAAGGCAATACTTCTCCTGCAGAGGATGTTGGCAAAATCCCTTCTTTGGAGAGTCTCCGTGACCTCCTTGGAAAGGACAACTGGGTCTGAGGTAGCACAGTCTGTTGGTTCTGCTCTGTTAGAGCCTTGAATAGCTCTTGGTTTCTCTCAGTCTGCTGAAACTGGTGGGCCATCATATGATGCTGGGGTGCTGCTGCTGCCACGTGAGGCTGTGCTATGGAAGTAGCTTGCTGGAGGCTGAAGGCTTGTGTGGCAGCCTGTTGTTGCTGCTGTTGTGGATAGAAGTTTTCAAACAACTGCAACTGAGGAAGCTGTTTCTGCTGGGTGGTAAAGGTTGGGCCACAAGTTGGGGCTTCTTGAAAGACATGTAACAACTCAGGAAGACCTTGCTTCTGGCCTTGGTGACCAAATGCAAGCTGAAAAGGCTGTAAAGGTAGACTCTGACTCTGCTGCTGCTTCTGCATCTGATGGAACGAATTCATTTGTGCTTGCTGCCTGACCAATGCTTGCTGTTCTAACTGAATTTTCTGGGACATCATCTGCTGGACAGCATCCTCATAAAGTTCAAACTGGGAAACCACCACCCCCTTTTCCTGGCTTCTTTTCAGGGGGCCAGGATGGCCATAGAACCCTGGGGCACCAGCACTGGGATGGGTGCCTTTCTGGTGGCCCCCATAGGCCATGTTGTGGTTCCACATTGCAGGTGACGGCTGCCAATTGGAATCACACCTATCTGGCAACCGGCTCCCCATCAAGGAGTTTTGCCATTTGACAGCAGTCACTGGCTGGGACATCATCATCGACTCCGCCCTATCTGAAGGATATACTGAGTTCATCAAGGCAACATTGTTGGGTGCACCAGGTAATACCCCTGCATTAGTAAATTCCATAGCTTGGGAGGTAGGTATATTCCCTCCATGTCCATAGTACTGTCCTTCCTTAAGCTGGTGCTGAAGTTCTTTTGATGGCACAGCTATATCCTGCTCATTAAAATAAGCAATCCGTTTCCCAGCCCTCTTGTTTGAAGACTTCTGTTGAAGATTCATGGTTCAGTTTTCTCCCCGGTAAAAACAGAATTACAACACACCCATCTCCAAGTCAGGGGAGAACCAAAAAGGCTCACTTTCTCAGTTCCAACGATAACAATTTATTACAAGTCCAGATGGAAGAACCTCCCCTGTGCATTCCTTGCGTGCTTCCCCCCTCTCCTCGTACTATGCCTATCCTTTCCAGTTCAGATGACAATGAAGTCCACTTAGTCGCAGTACCTAAAAGAAACAGAGAATCAAACTTCAGTGAGTCATCATCAGGATGGAGAACAACACAATGCCCAGAATCAGCAAACAGTAAAGTATATCCTCCCAAGGAAATCATGACCAGGAGAACAGCTGGTTGAGTGGGGATTTTTCTTCTGTGAAGAGCAAAGTATGTGTACACAAGTGTGTTGGAGGAGGAAAGGAAACCTGACCATCTAGAGTATCACATTGATTTGTCTGAAATACATAAATATCAGACATCTGTAGGACTAGAACAGCTGCCACACATAGCTTTATTGATTTTAGCAATGATTGTTCAGATAGTCCTGAAGACTTTTCTCTTCCTTTGCCCCCTGATCATCCCCCACCACACCAATAATTCTGGATTGTTGGCTGGGTGATTTGCTTTTAATATAAGCACAGTGAAAAAAGTTTGCTGAAGCAAAGAGATGCAAACTGGCTCAGGGGTCCAGATCTCCTTAGGAGGTTAAACTAAAAAAGATAAAGCACTAAGCTTCAGCCAAAATGTTGAAGATGCTCCATTTAACACTGGCCAGGATAGAGATGTGTAGTGACCTTCCAGGCAAGAAATCCTCCAAACCAGGGTATCCAACTGGTAGCCTGCAAGCTGCATATTGCCCCTGAGGAATTACCATACAGCCCATGAGCTCCCATCCAACTGCCACCCCCCACCTCAAGTGCCCCAACCAGGGCAACCGGGAGGGGGCTGAAGTGCCCAAGCTGCATGTGTGAAAAAGGAGGAAGCCATGCTGCCCACACTGTAGGTGGGTGGCATCACAACTAGGGAGGGGGTGGAAAGAGGGAAGTAGGGCTGGTCACCTCGTGTGGTCCCCTAGCTAGAAGTTGGACAACCCTGCTCTGAATGCTTACCAAGTGCCCTGAGACTACAGAAGGGCCTGCCCAACGTGCTCTATAACTCGTGCTTTTTGCAGCAGTTGAAAACTAAACACTCCCACTCAGGGATTTCACACTTACTAATGGTTTGCAAAGAGCATGGGAACAGCTTTAAGCATCTTCAAGCACTGCTAATTCTATACCAGCAAATCAACACAGGAAAAGGAGGAAAAGCCAAAATAAGAAGACTGGCCTCTCACATGCTTTGAGTCTAGCCCCCTGCCGTCATAAGCAATCACAAACAGACATTTGTCCAGAAAGGTCCACAAGAAGACCCAATTCAGCCCCTGTCATACACTACTACAATCACAAAATACTTCATAACTAACTACATATTGTAAGAGGAAAACCTGCAAGATGCCACAGGAAGTGAGCAGGAGCAATGGGCACAATTTATGCCTTCTGCTCTCAGAATCCCAGGGAATTAGTTCAGAAAAATCTGCCTAAAAAGATCCTAGGAAGTGAACCATGTCCCACACTGCACAGGAAGAAGGAAAAAGTCAGTCCTTGTCAATTTGACTTTGAGGGGAAAATTCCTTCTGGACTGCAAATTTGGCACTTGACTTACTCCTGAGCACATAAGCAAGACCCACCAGTCAAACATCCAAGAGGTTTTTTAGTACCATTTAATAACACTAGCACACTGCATCTTGTCACTCATCTCTAACTATGGATACTATCCAATATTACAGAGAAAGTTTAGAAAAAAGGGAAGTAAAGAGCCAAGTAACACATCCCAGGAGGGAGAAAAGTTTCTTCCTGGCCCCTGCAGGCAACAAACAGAAATCCTAAAGCATGGGATTAATACAACAATTTTGTAGGCCATCTGCTATGGTACACACTCTTAAAATTTGCACGTGATATTAGAGATTTGGCTGTTTATTATTTTAAAACTTAATAAAATTAAAACAAACCAAACAGCTTCCAAATGAGGCAACCCAAGCATACATTATGCCACATCATCATGTCTCACATTTTACAGAAGTATTTCAGATAAGTGCTTAAAAATCCACTAGCCCTATTATTTGCATCTTTCTACTTGTAAAGCCAAACTGTTCTAGTAACCCGAGCCTAACTCTCTAGACTTCATCACGATAGAAAATTGTAACTTTTGTAATCTCTAGGATTACCCAGAACAAGTCTTCTAAAAATAATAATGCCATGCTTTTAGGATTATAAATCAATCAATCAATCAGGACTAAGCCCCTCAAAAGCTGAGAAGCTGCCCCTTCCAGCAAGATATAGCAACTATTTATAGTTCTCATGGAGATTTTGGATCTTAAACTCATCACTGGTTCAAGCCTGAATATTTTTTAATTTAAGATTTTAGCTAAAATAATTAAAGAAGTTCTTCTGTTTTCTTTTTCCTCCATCTTTTGAAATGGAATGGAAGCGACAAGAGAATCCTGCATCTGGAAGAATATACAATGTTTAATGGCATACAAATTTAAAACTGCTTACACAGACCTATATCACACAAAAACTCTAAAAACAAACATATGACCAAACGATGACTTGAGCAGCGTACTCTACAACACAAAACCCAAACTCAAGTCCACCCTTCCACTTGTTACTGGCCTGTGCTAGAGATCAATACATGTTTATATTTTCCCACAGCCTTGAAGACAATGTGCAGAGTCTCTTGAGGTAAAAACATTCATTCACAGCCACTCTTGACAATACTTATTTCCTTCTTGTACAAAATCTTAATGACAGGCCACAAACTCATTCTACTATCTGGTAAGCCAAAACCTTCCTTTAATCATTCAGAGGAAATGATTGTTTACTGCAGCGCTGCACTCCAGTTTGAGTTTCTGTATAACGAGAAAAAAGCATCTCTACAGTTCAGAGCTCCCACCAATGAAAGTGACCTGGCTGTAGAAATAGAGAGGCAAGCATAGACACAGACTAAGAGGTCAGACTGTAGTAATGGGAACGTAAGAGGTATGGACAGAAATCAGATGTGAGAATACACTTTTACAGGTTTAATGAAAGGAGAGACATTTCTAAATTCAAATCATACCTATTATGAAGAGATGGCCCACAGGCTGGGGGTTACAAACTCCTGATGACTTAGGGAAGCGAGCAAAACCAACAGGACTCTCTTTTGAAACCTGTCACGAGATTTTTAAAATCCACACAAAAATAAATCGAGACATTGTTATTACTATTACTGACTCCATCAAAATATGCAGTAAAAATTGTCTCTATTAAAAAGAGGGGTTAGGCAGAGGGATAGGTCCAAATGAGAATCCTGTAACCTGAATCTCTTCAAACTTCACATGTCTGCAGGGCAAGTTTTATTAGAGGTGGAAGGGAGGAAAGAGGCAAAAGGTTCATACAACTTATGCAACTTCCACCTCTGAGGCCAATTCTCTGCGAGTGGAATCATAGGCCTGCTGTTTCAGCAAGGACTGACTCACTTCCTCAGCCTGACGTATTGCTGTTCCACCCCCCTTGCTCCCCCCGCCCCGCCCTCGTCCTGGCTACAAGCAGTGGAACCCTGCCACCTAGCATCAGAGCGCCAGGGCGTTCCTTCCCCCACTAAAGTACAAACTCTCTCAGCTCATTTTCCAGTCCTCCTTGGACAGCACAAAAATAACTGCAGGAGAAATGAGAGACACGTGACATGGAAAACACTCTTTTCAAAATGCTATCAGCATACAAACTAACAAAGCATGCTCAATGCAACCCTACTTTAAGGGGCACCAGGAGAGAAGAGCCATACTCCACAAAATGAGACATGCTTTCAACTGGAACTCTGACTGCAAACAGGAACAATTCACGGTTACTAGGTTGCAATAAGTCTCTGTGCATGAATATTATTTTCCCCTTTGCTTTTTGCAGCAGTGCTACGAATTTAAATAGTAGTTAACAGCCTTACCACAAGGTATGAAGTAATGATAATAATAGTGCCATACTATTTTACCTTGCAAGCAGTTGTAAGTTATGCGTTGGGGAGGGGAGAAAATCTATTGCATTACAGTTTTCCTTCCTTCATCCTTTTTGAATTCCTGTAGTACTGACTACTGGAATCTAACTCTACTAAGCTGACACAAGTGAATGAATTCAGAGAAGTACAAGACATTACCATCAAACCAGCTTTCCATCTACATGTCTGAACTTTAAGATAGGTTCTTTCTGATCTCCGGTGCCTAGGTGGAGACAATAAGGACTGTCTAAGAGCTAGCAGACAAAACAAAGTTGTAGTTTCCCAATATACAGCTGACGCCAATATGAAGTGTAGCTGAAGCCTCTTACTACTACAGTAAAAGCTGTGCTATCTGGCACTTTATTAACTGGCGTGCTCTATTAACCGGCTTGTATAAGTAGATGGTCTGTGCAGGGTAAACCCAAGAATTAAGGCCTTTTAAAATAGGGATCTCAGGCTTGCAAAGGCCTCCACTGTTATAATGTTGAGTAACTCTCCAACCCTGGACCTTGGCTCCCTTATTCCATTATTAGACAAAGACTCTTATGCATTCAATGCAGTGTATGCAGTGGCATGCAGCTTGGAGATGTAGTTAGCTACAGAAGAGAAGCAACAGAAACATGAAAGCAACAGTTACAAAAGAAGATCAAAAGGGACCCAACAAAAGGGAAAAGAGCCTTGAGTCTTTCTAGTGGGTACAGAGAGGCTTAAAGGCTTTTTTCTGCTGAGTTCTCTTATACACTTTTCTTTTCTACTCAAGAATGATGGCAATTGAAAAATGAGTGTAGTTATGACATCACAAAAATCAAAATATTGCAAAAACTGAGCCACTGAGTAGGGAAGCAATTTCTTAGTCTATTTAATTTAAGACATTTTGGAAAAAGAATATTTGCCAAAATTAAAATCTGATACTACTTCAGTTAAGTTGTAAGATCTCATATAACAAAAGAGACCTCCAGAAAAGTTAAAAAGGACCTAGATTTAAGGCTTCTCTTATTTCTGAAGCTAAACATGTTGCATAATCAGCCCTTCAGCTCTTCTTCATGCACACGCACAAAAAACTCTGTGTCCTTTATCTTTAAAACTTCTGTTGCTGTATCTTTAAAATAAGAATACTTCATAGTTTGAACAGAAGTTATCTATGTGCAGGCTACAGCATCCTTATACTTGATGGAAGCTACCAACTGGTAACTTACACTGCTCAGCTCTGCTGGCTTAATGACTATGCAGGTTCCCCTCCCTAAGGCCTGGGAATGACCTCATATTATCATCATCCTGGTCAGTTACCAGTTCGTTAAATTTCAGTACAACAGTCATCCTGCAATTGCACAGTAAAATGGCTTACAGAAGGCATCTGCAGTATGTTGCTAGGCTTAGTGCTCCTCTGCCCAAGGGCAAAGAATGCCTCTTGCTGCAGACTGCATCATAGCTGGACCCCAGGCCATGCTCCCTTACAGAAACGGTGTCTAACCTCAAGTGTATGACACCTTACATTGTTGTTTTTACAATGGGTGGAGGACAGATAGGACTTAAATTAACTTAAAGTCTACAGCTCTCACTACATACCTGGTTAACCATTTTGCATACTACTGGCTTCTAAGTGAAAAGCCTCTCAAACTTTTCTTCAGAAGACTTCCTTTCCATAGCCTGCCTTACTCTTGTACTTCCCACAATACTCTTATCAGTATTTTAAACTTTGAAAGACTTTCTTGCTACAGGATCCCTCCACAGAAGCATTTCAAGCTACAGACATGCAGTACTCTTGCAGCCACAAACTAGTCTACAGTACAGCAGTAGAAGGGAGCATTGGGGAGAATTCTGGCTGAGGGATCTGCAGTAAACATCTGCTCTCTGCATCACCAAATGCTACTATCCACAGAACATTCAGAGCCTTATTTTTTTAAAAAGCACATACAAAACAACACATGGCACTAAAATCCACCTACCCTCGAACAACAAAGGGCTGAAAACTTGTCTACATGAAGTTGTTCATTTAACTAAGTTAGTTTAAAAGAAAAGTATATTTTTCCATGTAGAAAAGGCCCAAAAAATTTACCAGGAGTGCTACATGCTACCTTTGCCTATCCATTCACCTGCTATGGGCTGTACTCCTTATTCTACCCTATTCAGCCTCTCAACACGGCTTAGAAATTCCACATTCCAATTACTAGAGGGAACTTTTATCATATCCTTCCTCAATCTATAAGCCTCAAGAATATCCTATAGAATCATGGAAAGTTACGGTTAGAAGGGACCTCAGGAGATCTAGTCTAGCCCCCTGCTCAAAGCAGGACTATCCCCAAATACAGTAAGAGCTGTGTCAAGAGGCATGAGTGGGGTAAGGGGGTGCCAGGTATCTAAAAATTCCAGTTATCTGAGCCAGTGGTTTTCAACCTTTTTGAAACCCCCTGCCAAGCAGGACAGGGCAGAAGGGGTGGCAGCAGCAGCTACACGTGGAGCAGCGAGCGCGCGGGGGGGGGGGGGAAGGGGAGGAAGGGTGGCAGTGGCAGCAGCAGCAGCCTCCACATGCTAGCTTTCCCACTCACCACCATGTCTCCCCCGCGGTCAGCCAGCCAGAAATTCCAGTTAATAGAGTATTCCAGACAGTAGAATCCCGGTTAACAAAGCTTTTACCGTAGATCATTCCAGACAAGGCTCTCTAGCCAGGCCTTGAAAACCTCCAAGGATGGAGCTTCCACAATCTCTCTGGGTAACCTGTTCCAGTGTTTTACTACCCTCCTAGTGAGAAAATTCTTCCTAAAATTGAAACTAAACTTCCCCTGCTGCAACTTGAGACCGTTGCTCCTTGTTCTGTCATCTGCCACCACTGAGAACAGTCTAGCTCCATCATCTTTTGAACCTCCCTTCAGGTAGTTGAAGGCTGCTATTAAATCCCCTCTCAGTCTCCACTTCTCTAGACTAAATAAAACCAGTTCGCTCAGTCTTTCCTCATAAGTCATGTCCCTCAGCCCCGTCACCATTTTTGTTGCCCTGCACTGGACTCTTTACAATTTGTCCACGTGCTTTTTGTAGTGGGAGGCCCAAAATTGAACACAGTACTCTAAATGCAGCCTCGTCAGTGCTGAATAGAGGGGAATAATCACTTCTCTTAACCTAGTGGCAACACACCTAGCAATGCAGCCCAGTATGCTGTCAGCCTTCTTAGCCACAAGGGCACACTGCTGGCTCATATTCAGCTACTGTCCACTGTAACCCCCAGGTCCTTTTCTGCAGAGCTGCTGCCCAGCCAGTCAGCCCCCAGCCTGTACTGGTGCATGGGATTGTTCCATCCTAAGTGCAGGACTTTGCACTTGTCCTTGCTGAACCTCATGAGATTCATTTTGGCCCAGTCCTCCAATTTGTCTAGGTCACTCTGAACCCTAGCCCTATCCTCCAGAGTATCTATTACTCCCCCTAGCTTGGTGTCATCAGCAAACTTGCTGAGGGTGCACTCTATGCCATCTTCCAGGTCATTGATGAAGACACTGAACAAAACCAGCCCCAGGACCAACCCCTGGGGCACTCAATCCTATGCTCCCTCTGAAAAGAGTTCAGGATCCCCTGCACTTTGTATGGGCTTAAAAGGTTATGGAAGACTTTAAGGCCAAATGAAATACATAACTTACCTCAGAAGGAAAAATTAGTTTGCCACATGATAGTTGTGTTCTCCCACAAGCAGGGTGTAACAAAGAAGCATAAGGTGACAAAGCAAAGAATTATAGAGTAACTATTACAAAACATTTCTAGACTTCAGTATTTAGAATGACAACCTTCATGGCAGAAGGAGATTTTTAATCTTGATTATTAATTTAAAATGTCTTCCCATTACTATTTCAGTAATGTTACTTTACTTACACATAAATGTATCCTTATATCCAAAATCTTGGTTCTAGTCTGGAAGTGGTTTTACTTAGAAATCTGCCGTCTTTTCCTCTTTATGCAAGTATTGTTTTCCACTTAAGCACACACATCTTTCTACTATTTCATGTGCCAAGTTCATGACCTCACATTTTGTAGTAACATTAAACTCGACTCTCCAGCCCATCTGTCAAGAGCCTCCTGCTGTTTTGTACTCTCCTCGGTTTCATTTGGTACTCCACCTCTATTTGGCAGCATAAGCAGGTTTAATTTCTGTGTATTTGATCACTTTTAAAATGGATCATATACAACAAATTTAAGAGGAAACTTCAGTAATGAGTCATTACCCAACTCCTCCACAAAACTAAACCAAAAAGTGAAGGGTGCAGAAAATTACAATAAGTGGCAGCAGAACAAATCTCCCCACCCAATTTTGCCACTTCTACAGAGACTCCAAACTCCCCTATTTTAGAAAGGTATTTCAAGCAATAATTTTATCAAAATCCTCATTGGGAGGGGCTTGATACCTGTGTTGCCTTGCTCCCCACAATTTTATTTGTCAGCCTCTTACAGGAATGCTGTCAGATTAGAGTGATGAGCTTGGTTTCCCATTAAAACGCTGTACTAGCAGCTACTAAGCTTACTGTTCTCTTCTCTTAAAGAGGCTCAAGCACTTTGTCTCTGATGAACAACTCTAAAGCCTGTTCCTGGAATCAAAATCCAGCTGTACCAGGGTACAAAGTACTCTATTTCCCTTCCAAGAGGGTGCAGTCTCTGATCCAACTTCACTCTAAAATGCAATTTATTGAGGCTAGACTACCCCAAAGCATTTATGTTATATGGGTAAAGTATTATGACCCACATTTTACCAAATGAGGAACTAAGGCCAGTCACTGAACCCTTCTTAAGATTACAGAGCAAGTCAGTGGCAGAATCAAGAACACAATTTGGAGCTTCCCTACCAGTGCCCTTCTTTATCTACTAGTACTTCCATAATTTACATAGTAAAATCCCAGATAACAGGGATTTTAGTTTAACAGGCACACTCCAGTAACTGGAATTTCTGGCCAGATGCGGTGGGGCGGAGCCTGCAAATAGCTACCACTGCCAACCACCATGCTGTACTACTGCCACTCCATGTGCAGCCACCACCACCCTCCCCTCCCACTCCGCGTCTGACCCGACTCAGGTAACTAGAACCCCCCCCCCCCATTCCCTACTCATACCGGATATCAGGGATTTTACTGTATACAGCTAATCATTGAAATAACACTATAAAACACTGAAAGCATGCATTTTTAATTAACTACCTTTGTTGTGGAATTCTTAAAATCACTCTTAAATAGTGGGGGGAAAGAGGCATAAAACAGATATGCTACTTACAGGCCAATGCTGAATGGCCATAATGGATTCACTCCCTTTGGTATCAAGTGTAGAAGCAACTTGCAAAACGCTAGAATTCAACAGCTTTCCAATGCTGGGAATTTAGGATGAATCCCAAACAAAAAATAGGTCTTGGCCTACTGCAGATCTGTCTTTATGAAGCCACTGTTTATTGCAAAAGTCCTGGATAAAGTCTGGGGAAGTGATGAAGGCAAGTGAGGGGTAGAGGGAGCTCCACAGCTTCTGCATAAAACACACCTAGCCCTAAAGCTATAGGTTCTCCATCACTAAAATTCAACCTCCACAAAACAAAACAAAAAACCCCCCACAAACTACACATTGAAATGTTTTCTTGCAGGCACTTAACACCATCAAAAT